TTTGGGAACAATATTGTTTTTTTTTGTTTTTTTTTTTTTTTTTTTTTTTTTTTTTTTTTTTTTTTAGTGAAGTAACTGCGGACTTGCTTCTCTTGAGAAACCAAAAGAGAGAAGGTCACTAGGTTGTCTTCTGTCTCAGACTACTTGATTCCTGTTTGGTGGACCCGATATTGAACCTCTTTCTTAGGGGCAGAACCTGGCAGCATGCCGCTTGCTGGGTGCATATTCTTCCCTCTAGACTGGAGGAGGAGGTACCAAAGGAAGCTTTATTCATTTGGTGATTTTGTTGTTGTTTTTTTTCTCTCAGTCATGTTGTACACAATACTTATTGGCTAATGGAACTTTGTTTTAGCCATGTCTAAAGAATAATTTTATGTCAAAATACTTCTCCAATTACAATATTTCACTGGAGTAAAAAAAAAAAAAAAAGGCATAAATGATGTGTCATCTCAGATTGTCAAAAGTTTTCCTCAGATTCAGCCACTATAATCAACAGATCATAAGCTCTAAGTGATTTGTTGTTAGAGAGACAGATTCCTTATAGATGAAGTATCATAAGAGACATAGCTATTGCCTATTCAAATACAAAGCACCTTCTAGATCTTACATTTTTTCTCCCCAAGCTATATTCCTGCAAACTTTGGTGGGATATAAGAGCACCTCCTTAAAGCTGAAGGACCCAGTCTGTCATCCATAGTAATGTTGTAGCTGTGCTCCTCTGATGTTGCGTCTGTAACGATGTAACCTGCACTCTTCCAGATCAGAGCTGGGGGAGAAAACTGCTTGCTCACGAGATGCTCTCGGGGGGAATTTGTCACAATTTTTTGTGGTGTGGTCAATAGGGTGCCAAATGTACTAGCAGCTCACTCTCACTCAGAAAATGGATCAAATATAGTAAATGTACATATGCATATGTTTTTAATAAATAAAAAGTAACTTGTCTGAAATTATTACTATTTGTTTTGCTTGTTGGCTTTGCAGTGGCTTTATTATTCACAGTTCTCTGACCTAATTTTATAAGTGTCTTTGGGTTTTCTGTTTGTTCACCAAAATTTTAATGCCTTTTTTTTTTTTTTTTTTCAGGGAATCCTACCCTGCGGTCTCATTAAAACAAAAATACACTTAATCCTTTTTATGATTCTTAAATTCTTAAAAATGTTACACATTTAAATTGAATAAATCATTTTGTGATGACTCGGTTCTTGATTGGCTATCATCAATAGTCAGTTCCAGAGATAATATGGTAACAACTCCTTCAGTACATTTGATCTCCTTTTGCGAAATGTAGTAAAACATTTTTCAGTGTCTGATTAAAACAACGCTGCAGTCTGTTTGCGAAATTCTTAAATTCTAGTTTTTGATCTTTAGAGTGACACATAAGTCTTTCATCTAATGCAATTAAATGTAGTTAGTGGGATCGTAAGTTTCTCTGGGCAGCCCAAAACTTCATTAATTCTGCCACTACTCTCTGAATCAACAGCGACTTCAGAGCAACTGCTTCCAGTTAGTGTGTAGCATAATATATTGTTTGCCAGCATGCAGCAGCAGCAGCCTGCCACATTTCAGTTCTCACAGTTGCTGTTTGAGCCAGCAGGTACAAGTGTATCTTCCTTAGAAATATCAAAGCTAGAAGGTCCATTGGAGAATATCTTGGAAACAGGAGGTGCTGCTGAAGTGGCTCTTTATAAATTGTCTGTGTATGTCACGTCATAGCTCTTGCCAAAGAAATGTAAAGGCAGCCTTAACTTGCAGGAGGTCTCATGTCTTCAGAAAGGTTTGTCATCATGCCTGCTACCTCTCTCTTTAACTATCTTAATTAAGAGTTGCACACATCCAAAATCCAATGTTTTGTGGTGATTATCATGTCAGACCTTTGTTTTCAGTGTTGTGTCCAAAGTGCCTGAATTACCTGTACATAGCAATCATGTTCCTCTTATGTAGGAGTTGACTTTTTTTCCTATTTAGTAATACTTTATTTTTGTGAATATTTAAAGAGTGTTTTATCTTTCTTATTTGCTTCACCTCTGCCTGTCCCACTGTTTGATTTATCTGCACTTCCTGAGTTCAGGAGACACTGTTTGATTTATCTGCACTTCCTGAATTCAGGAGAGTTTGTTTTGCTCTTTGCAAATCCTAACAAT